TCATTGTAAATCGATCAGGGTCGATTCGAAGGTGTACGTACATTTACCGGGCAAGGCCGATTTGACGGTGGCAGTACGTTTATCGGGCAGGCCGATTTGAAGGTGTCCGTACGTTTATCAGGTGGGCCAATTTGAAGGTGTCCGTACGTTTATCGGGCAGGCCGATTTGAAGGTGTCCGTACGTTTATCGGGCAGGCCGATTTGGAGGTGTCCGTACATTTATCGGGCAAGCCGATTTGGAGGTGTCCGTACGTTTATCGGGCAGGCCGATTTGAAGGTGTCCGTACGTTTATCAGGCAGGCCAATTTAAAGGTGCCCGTACGTTTATCGGGTAGGCCGATTTGAAGGTGTCCGTAATTCATCGACCGGGGTCGGTTTGGAGACGAAAACTTCTGAATAGTACTTCATTAAATATCTGGCCATGAAGCCGACTGTCTAAGAGGAGGTGGAGAGGCCCACTCATCCCTTTAAAAGAAAAACAAAGTTCACCTAGTGATAGTAATGTTTGAGGTGAATGGCATTCCAACTGTTGTTGATGTCTTTGCCCTCGGAGGTCTGGAGTTTGTAGGCACCCTTCCCTACTGCTTTGATTATCTTGTAGGGACCTTCCCAGGTGGGACTGAGTTTGCCAGAGTTGATCTCTTTGGTGTTTTGGAAGACCTTGCGGAGGACCCAGTCGCCTATCTTAAAAGTATGGATCCTCACATTGCGGTTATAATATCAGGCGGCCTATTGTTGGTAAACTGCATTGTGGATGCTTGCACATTCCCATAGCTCGTCCACAATGTCTAAGTTCTGGCAAAGGTTGTGATTGTTTGATTCCTCGTCCCCCCATTGAAGCCTGGTGGACGGAACTGATACTTCAGCTGGAATGACTGCTTCGGAACAGTATGTCAGGGAGAACGGAGTTTCACCAGTTGATGATCGAGCCGTGGTTCGGTATGACCAGAGGACTCCGGGTAGCTCGTCTGCCCATGCGCCCTTAGCTTTCTGCAATCGTTTCTTCAATGCCTATATAATGGTCTTGTTTGATGACTCGGCTTGGCCGTTAGACTGGGGGTTATGGGGTGTTGAGAAGCTCAACTTTATTCCCCACATGTCACAGAAATCCCTGAAGCCTGAACTAATGAACTGGGACCCATTATCGGTGACAATCTCCTTTGGTATTCCGAACCTGCAGATTACATTCTTCCAGATGAAGGCTTTTACCTTTCGGTCTCTGACTTGTGCAAAGGCTTTGGCTTCGATCCACTTGGTGAAGTAGTCTATTACAGCCAACATGAAGACTCGTTGCCCCGGTGCAGTAGGTAGCTTTCCCACGATGTCCATTCCCCACTTCATGAATGGCCAAGGTGTGAGAATGGAATGGAGTCGTTCTGGTGGGAGGTGTGAGATGTGGGCAAACCTTTGACAACTGTCACACTTCTTCGCGTAAGCGGTCGAATCGGTGCGTATGGTCGGCCAGTAGTATCCCGCGGTGATCACTCGGTGTGCAAGACTGTGCCCCCCCGCGTGGTTGCCGCATTCGCCTTTATGGAGTTCAGCTAGAACACTTTGGGCTTCTTCTGGGCTTATGCATTTCAGATAAGGGCCCCAGAATGACTTTCTGAGGAGTTGGCCCTCATGTATGGTGAATCTGGCGGCTCTTGCTTTCAGTCGGCGTGCTTTGTTCTTGTCAGCCAGGAGCTCATCGTCTTCCAAGTATCTTATTATCGGGGTCATCCAGTAGTCGGCTTGTTCAACGCCCATGGCCTCTACGGGAGACTTGTTCGGTGGTGGTTCCTTGCAGTTGGCTGGCCACTGCATGAATAAGAGGGGAATGGAGGACTGGGAAGAACATGGGAGTGTCGAGCCAAAGTTGGCGAGGGCGTCGGCATGGTAGTTCTCAGCTTTGGGGATCTGTACGATTGAGAACTCTTCGAATTTGGCCTGCAGCTCTTTGACCATGCTTAAATAGGATGTCATATTTGAATCGCGTGCTTGATACGTGCCTTGTAGTTGATTGACTACGAGTTGGGAGTCGGACTTCACTTATAGTCTCTTGGCTCCAATTTCTCTGGCCAAGGAAAGTCCAGCTAGGAGGGCTTCATATTCGGCCTCATTATTCATGCACTTGAACCCACACCGGATTGCTCGCTGGATGATGTCTCCCCCTGGTGCGATCAGTACCATTCCGAGTCCGCTTCCATTGACATTACTCAATCCGTCTACTAAGAGAGTCCACTTTGAGGGTGGTGCACCGTTCATGCATAGTAATTCTCTTTCAGCCTCGGTGGTGGCGTTTGGTGTGAAGTCGGCAATGAAGTCTGCCAGTGCCTGGGACTTGACGGCGGTACGGGATTGGTAGGCTATATCGAACTCACTAAGCTCTACTGTCCATTACATGAGTCGGCCTGATAGTTCAGGTTTGTGTAGTATCTTCTTGAGTGGGAAGGAGGTGATTACAACAATAGGTGGCACTGGAAGTACAGCCTCAGCTTCTTGGATGCATGGACGAGGGCGAGGGCCAGTTTCTCCAGTTGACTGTACCCAGTTTCTCCAGTTGACTGTACCGAGTTTCAGCGTCAAGGAGCGACTTGCTCACATAGTAGACCGGTAATTGCTTTGATTCTTCTTCTCGAACTAGCACTGCCGAGATGGCTGTCTCTAAGACCGCTAGGTAAGAGTAGAGCTTCTCCCCATCCACAGGTTTGGAAAGAAGCGGGGGTGTGGTCAGATACCTCTTCAGCTGTTGTAAGGCTTCTTCGCAGGAAGGGTTCCAGACGAACTTCTTGGACTTCTTGAGGGCATGGAAGAATAGGTGGCATTTATTAGCTGATCTAGAGATGAAGCGGCTCAGGGCGGCTACTCGTCCTGCAAGGCGCTAGACGTCTCTGATGCAAGTCGGGGATGGTATGTTGAGGACCGCTCTAATCTGGTCGGGGTTTGATTCTATCCCTCACTGAGTAACCATATAGCCCAAGAATTTACCTGACGAGACGCCGAATGAGCACTTGTCTGGGTTCAACTTCATGTTGTACTTCCGGAGGACGGCGAATGCCTGGCTAAGGTGGTCAAGGTGTTGTTCGGCAATCAGGAATTTGACGAGCATGTCATCGATGTACACCTCCATAGTCTTCCCTAAGTGGTCAGAGAACATTTTATTGACCAGACGTTGGTAGGTAGCCTTGACATTCTTCAGTCCAAACGGCATTACTTTGTAACAATAGGTTCCCCTCTCCGTGATGAAGGCAGTCTTCTCTTGGTCGTTCGGATGCATCAGAATCTGGTTATATCCCGAGAAGGCGTCCATGAAACTAAGGAGTTCGTGCCCTGCGGTCGCATCTGATAAGCATATTTTACACTATGATTTTGCATTGAATTTTGATAGGATTTAGAATACTTTTCATACAATTTGGGCCATAATTGCTACCTAATTCTATTAATTTGTCTTTGTAGGCCTAAACGATGATTTTTAGCATAAATGATAGTTTTGAGCGTAAATTTTGTAACCTGAGCTTGGAAACTCGGAATGACCTGAATTTAGAAGTTTTGGAAAGCTAAGACGAAGAGCTACAACGTTCATGTTTTGGGTTTTTCCTAATTCTGACTGGACAAAGGTGAAAACTTGGCTTGAAGTCTTGAAAAGTACGATGGGAACTGAAGAAAAACGTCTTTGGACGTGCTTTAGTATTTCTGCCATAACTTGAGCTGTAGACCTCGTCTTGTGCTTATTCTTGAACGGGCAGAAAGATAATTGAAAGGGCTATAATTAATATGTTTAACACTTTTCCAGATTCAGAATCTATCATGCTCAAAGTTGGCCCGAAATTCTTCACCGCGGCGAGGAAAAATCTTCGCCGTAGCGAAACCTGCAGCAGATGTAAAAATAAAACGACGCGTTTTGGCTTGCTAAGGCTTTGTCCTTAAGTGAGAGAGGTATAAATTAGAGCGAAAAGGAAGAGAAATGGGTCTTGGTTCGTCATTTGGGAGGCAGCTCATGGAAAGAGAAGATTATTGAAGATTTGCGCTTCAAATTAGAGAAGATTTCTCCATCTTTTGCTTGTTTTTCAATGATGAATCTTGATTCAGTTGGTTTTTGTTATTTTCTTTCGTTTTTGTGTATGAACTGAGTTGTTTAGCTAGGGTTTGATGTAACCTTGATACAATGATTCAAATTTATATGAATTGATTTACTTTGAGTTTTAATTTCATGATTGAGTGTTTATCTCTTTGTTTAATGACTTTTGGATGCTTGATCACCATTCAAATGTGTGTTGTTCACAATGAGACTGAGAAGTGATTTGTGATTGTGCCTCTTGGGATAAATACCGTAGATTAAGCAAACGCTAGAGATAGGTTTAGCGATCTATGAAATCTAGATAGAATTCCATAAAGCTTAAAAGACTTTGAACTATTAATCTTCATTTTGTTGGGTGCGGAAGCTTAATAGGGATAAGTAGGGAAATGTAGCCTGAGAAGGTATGTTTTACAACTTAGGGAATTCGATTTTCAATCAAGGAATTAGAACTTGGGTAATAGATTCTATGATTTAGGTTAGCGTATCTAGGTGAAATCAACACCCTAGATTTTTTTAGAATTGTTTAATTAATTAAGTTGTTGGGTTTTGCATTTGTTTTTAGTTTGTTAATCGTCCATCAATCCAATATATTGTTGCTTCAATTAGGACTTTAACTAGAAAAATCAGTACTTAGTAACACTATCCTTATGGGAACGATACTCGCTCATCACTTTATTACTTAGTGCGATTAGTATACTTGCTACATATTGCATGTTGTAGGAAACACGCATCAGCATCTACCATCATGTCGATATATGGGAGTGGGAAAGAATCCTTGGGGCAGGCTTTGTTCAAGTTAGTGAAGTCGATGCAGACTCTCCACTTCCCGTTCTTTTTCTTTACGACCACGATGTTTGCTAGCCATTCGGGGTAGTGGACTTCTCTGATCATGCCGTTGCTTAGGAGCTTTTCAATCTCTTCATTGACGATCCGGTTTTGCTTAGGTACGAATTTCCTCATCCTCTGCTTGACTGGTGGGTGATCCGGATCTGCCTTGAGCTGGTGGACCATTGCATCTAGATTGATTCTGGTCATGTCGGCGTGGGACCAGGCAAAGCAGTCTTCGTTCTGTTTGAGAAATTCTATCAGCTTCTCTCTTGTCTCGGGTTCGAGGCGGGAGCCTATATGTGTCTTTCTCTCCGAGTCGTCCGGATGTATCTGCACTTCATCCAACTCCTCAATAGTTGGTTGATCAGGCTCGGTTTGAGGGGTTGGATGAGACTGTAATTGCTATGAAGAGTTTCCTTTGCCTTTGAAGGCGTTCTTGTAGCAGTCCCTGTAAGCTTTAGGGTCACCCTTGATTTCCCGTACTCCCCACTTGGTTAGAAACCTGATCGTCTGGTGGAAGGTAGATGGGACTGCCCGCATGTCATGGATCCAGGGGCGGTCCAAAATGACGTTGTAGGGAGATGGGCAGTCGATCACCAGGAAGACGGTCTGTTTGTTTATTCCACCGGCGTAGATGGGAAGGATGATCTCTCCGACAAAGTATTTCTGCTCCAAGCTAAACCCAACCAACAGTGTCGGACGCCTATTGATGTTTGCTTCTTCTAGTCCCATTGCCTTGACTGCTTCGAGGAACAGGATGTTTGCTGACGAACCTCCATCTACGAACACCCTTTTCACTAGGATGTTGGCAATCTGCAGGGAGACGACTAAAGCGTCGTGATGAGGAGCAGCCAGGGTGATCGGTTCGTCATCTTCAAACTGAATTACCTAATGAGAGTGTGATCGTAAGACCGGATGGATGGACTGTACTTCATGTTGGTGGCTGGCTCTAGCATATCGCTTGGCTGATGAGTAACTTACTCCACTGATCCCTGATCCTCTAGAAATGAGCGAACATAAACCTTTTGGTGTGGGTTCCCGTGGAGGGAGTGACGGTTCTTTGGAGCTTTTCTGGCTAATTGTGTTCTTCCCTTTGTCAGTAAGCATATCACGGAGATGTCCCCTTTTCAGAAATGCGGCAACCTCGAGCTGCAAGGCAATACTGTCTCCGGTGTTGTGCCTATGGTCGCTGTGGAACTCGTACCACTTGGTTGTGTCTCTCCTTGCCTCGGGATTGAGCTTGCCAGGCCACTTGACGGTGGATCCCAGTCCTTTCATTATTGCTACGACCTGGGTTGGCTCGACATTGAGGTTGTACCCTAGTATCTTGTGTTGGTTCGATCCAAACTGCCTGTTATCATTTCTCGCGTGTTGGCGATCATAAGGCTTCCTGACTCTGCCCATATTGCGTGCTAGAGGTTGGTAGTGGTGCTCTACCGGTTTAAACTCTGGCTTTTTATCGCTCCGCCTTGATTCGTATTTAGAATGGGCAGCTCGATTCATGTCATCTTCCTCCCATCTTATTTGGATAACCGCCCGGGCCAGAGCATCTTCCATTGTGGTGCAACCCAGCTTCGTAAGTTCTTTGTACAGTTCTCCATCTGGGAGGAAGCCCTTCCTGAAGGCGTCCACAGCAGTCTTAGGGTTACAGGAGGGGATAGAGATCTTTTCTCTATTGAATCTACTGACATATTCTCTCAATGGCTCTCCTCTTCTCTGGTATATTCGGTATATGTCGGCCGATAGTTTTTCTAGTTTCTTGCTGCTGGCGAATTACTCCACGAAGGTGTCAGTGAGCTGGGCGAATGAGTCGATGGATCCATTCGGGAGGTTCGTGTACCATTGGAGTGCCGGTCCAGATAGACTAGAACCAAAACTCTTGCACATGCAGGCTTCCCTAAGCGGTCGAGGTATTGAGACTGTAAACATCCGCTGCTTGTACGAGGCTATGTGGTCATCCGGGTCGGTGGTACCATCGTACGGTTTCATGTTGGGGATGGTGAATTTCTAGGGCATGTCAGCCAGGGCGATCTCATCCACAAAGGGTGAATCGGCGTAACTATGGGGTCTGCTCTTCTTGGTTGGGACCGGCATACCTGGAATGCGTCTCATCATTGCCTCGACGTCAGCCAGTCTTTTAGCCAATACTTGTTCCATATGGGAGGGGGATACTACCGGGTCATTCTGTCTTACTGGGTTTGCTGCTGCATTCGTTCTCAGCACATCCCGTTGGGTCATCCCTTGGGGGGTAGTCTGATAGATCGTTCTGTCGTGCATTCCTTGATAGCATGGATCTTCGTTCATCCTTTCCGGTTGGATGACTCCTATTGTCACTGTTCTGTTGTTCCGCCCCACATGAATGGTCAGTGGAGTCGACTGGTAGTCGCTCAGTCGGTCAGGGTGGATGAGCTCGAGTGCTAGAGTTGGTTTGGTTTGACCATTCAACCCGCGAGGGTGAGCCGAGCCGAGTGGGGTTTGTGTTTGGGTTGTGGACTGGAGGTAGAGCGGGATGGGGAGAGTGGGCTGGTCTTGTGGATGTGGGCTTTTCGTTATCGGATTATCTTGGTTACAAGGTTTGGATGAGTCGGCTGGATAGTGTTCTGCTGGCATATCTTTGTCTCCATTAGTCAAAACGGAGTCGTCCAATGCCAGCGCGCTTAACAAATGCGGCTCTTTACCGAAGATCGAGGGCTAATGCTCTGGTGTGGAGAGTGGTTGCATGGATGGGATAGGGGCGCTGAACCGATTGGCGGGTACTTGGTTGGGCAAGAACTCGAGATCATAGAATTGACCCACCTTCTCTTTTAAAGACTGGTTTTCAGCCCTAATGGACGCGTTTTCAGTCCGGGTTGCATTGTTCTCGGCTTTCAGTGCGGCCACCTTGTCTGAATTTTGTTGCATGAGAGAGGTCAAGACCTGCAGTCTGGCCTCGAGGCCGGGGTTAACGTTGTCAGGATTCTCAGTCATGGATTGTTCCTCCACGTAGCAAGGTTCGTCGAGCCGAATGATCGCTAGAGACCCCACGGTGGGTGCCAAACTATAGACGTAAAAATCTACCTGTACGGAAAGGGGGGTCTGATCCCGCGAGGTTGAGGCCACTAGCGATCTGCTGCACCTGTACATGTAGGAAACACACGCGTGAAGCGAACGGGAAACACCGGGGTGGTGTTTGCCGTAGGCACTCTAACGCTCAAGTCAGCAAGGCTGAAAGGCTAATATAGTGAGGGCTATGGAGTAAAAGGTTACCGAAAGTCTAGTCGGGGACTATGACTACGGCGGTGATGTGCAACTCTCAAGTCAGAGCTTTCAGTGTGAAGGTCGAATGGATCCCTCGTGAGAGGGTTGACCTCTGTTTATATAGTGACTGTCTGGTCTCCTAATCCTGGTGGAAGTAGGAGTCCTAATATGACTCTGATGCAAACCCTAGAAGAATTAGGAACCGTGGTAAGATGTCTTACCAGTGTCTGGATAGGAAAGTGACTTCGAGTAGGAAAGTGTTCTGAATAGGAAAATGACTTTGAGTAGGAGATTGATCAGGAACAGGAATATGATCAGTGGGCCGTGGGCTCGGAACTCGCCTATAGGCCCAGGAAGTGAACTGGAACTGGGGGGCCCGTGCCCAGATGGTTTGGGTAGGCCGTATCTTGTATCGAATGGGACTAATCTGGCTTGGGCCTCTTTGGGATTCAGGCCTGGTCTTCTCTTCACAAATGGTCCTGCTTTCTTATTTGGGCCGAGGACGATTTTTGGCAGTTCGAAGTTTCTTGGGGCATGTGGGGTTTTATAGACGGTTCATCAAGGATTTTTCTAAGATTTCTAAACCCCTTTGCAATTTATTGATTAAAGATGTTGCTTTTGATTTTAATGATGAATGCATGCATGCTTTTCAAACTCTAAAGAAATTACTTGTATCTACACCTATTATTGCAGTCCCTGATTGGGGACTACCATTTGAATTGATGTGTGATGCAAGTGATTTTGCTTTAGGAGTAGTGTTAGGACAGCGGAAAACAAAGTGTTGCATGTAATTCAATATGTTAGCAAAACACTTACTGATGCACAATTGAATTACACCACCCCTGAAAAAGAATTGTTGGCTATGGTTTTTGCTTTTGATAAATTTCGTTCATATTTGTTAGGTGCCAAGGTGATAGTCTACACGGACCATTCAGCACTCAAGCAGCTGATGGCAAAGCAAGAAGCGAAACCTCGGCTGATAAGATGGATCATATTGCTACAAGAGTTTGAATTGGAGATACAAGATAAGAAAGGGTCGAAAAATGTGGTAGTGGACCACTTGTCAAGGATTGAACGACCAACTCAAGGAAATGAAGAAGAAACCCAAATCAGAAAACTTTCTCGGATAAGAAATTGATGAGAGTAGAAGAAGCACCGTGGTATGCAGATTTTGCAAACTACTTGTCAGCGAGAGTGCTCCCATTGGCATGACCTTCCAACAAAAGAGGAAGTTTTTCTCAGATTTGAAATACTATTTCTGGGAAGAACCATTCCTTTATCGACACTACGCTGATCAGATGATACGTAGGTGTGTGCCGGAAGAGGAAATGGAAAGTATTCTAAGGCACTGTCATGAGAGGGAAGTAGGTGGCCATTTTGGAGGAGCTAGGACAGCAGCTAAGGTTCTTCAATCTGGGTTTTACTAGCCAATCCTTTTTAAGGATTCTTTTCGGACGGTTCAGGAATGCAACCAATGTTAACGGAGTGGTAATATTTCAAAAAGGGATGAGATGCCGTTGAACAACATCCTTGTAGTTGAGCTGTTTGATATGTGGGGAGTTGATTTCATGGGGCCCTTCCCAAATTCTTTTGGGAACACATACATTTTGGTAGCAATGGATTACGTATCAAAGTGGGTGGAAGCAATTGCACTGCCATCTAATGATGCCAGGGTAGTGATTAATTTTGTGAGAAAGAATATTTTCTCAAGATTTGGAGTACCAAGGGCAATCATTAGTGATGGAGGATCGCACTTTTGCAATAGGCAATTTGATGCCTTGTTGGGAAAGTATGGGGTAAAACATAGAGTTGCAACACCTTACCATCCACAGACCACCGGGCAAGTAGAATTGTCGAACAGAGAACTGAAAGGAATTTTAGAAAAGACAGTAAATGCATCTAGGAAAGATTGGTCACGGAAATTGGATGAAGCATTATGGGCATATCGAACTGCATTTAAGACTCCGATTGGAATGTCTCCATTCAGGATGGTTTATGGGAAGGCATGTCACTTGCTGGTAGAACTTGAGCATAAGGCCTATTGGGCAGTAAAGCAGCTCAACATGGATTTATGAGCTGCTGGGGAAGAAAGGATGCTAACTTTGAATGAGCTCAATAAGTTCCGTCAAGAAGCTTATGAGAATGCTAGAATGTACAAGGAAAAGACCAAGAAGTGGCATGACAAGCATATCCGGAAGAAGAACTTTGAAGTGGGTCAGAAAGTGTTATTGTTTAACTCTAGACTTAGGCCTTTTCCAGGAAAACTTAGGTCAAGATGGTCCAGACCCTTCATAGTTACAAGAGTTTACCCATTTGGAGCGGTGGAAGTGTCATATGAAGAAAAAGGCACATTTAAGGTCAATGGCCAGAGGTTGAAGCCATACATCGACGGAGTGATGAGTTGCAAGTCAAGTCCTCTCTGGCTCGACATTCCAACATGAGAACTTAAAAGAGTCGAGCTTTCCGACTATAAACAAGCGCTACTTGGGAATCAACCCAAGTGTTTTCATTTGTTGTTGTTTATTTTTAATTGTTTAGTTTTCCTATAATTTTAAATGAGTCTAATTTGCATGTTTTTGGGTGTTTCAGGTGAGTTATCGAATCAAGGCGAAAAATGGAATTGTCCAGTTTTTGCCACGGCGAAGATTGTTCTTCACCACGGCGAAACACATTTGTGAAAAATTGGAATTCGAAAAGTCCCAGACCTCGCCTCGGTGAAGAAATATTTTCGCCGCGACAGTGCGCTATTGGAATTGTTTGCCGCAGCGAAGAAAGTTGAGCAAAATTTTCAAAGGCAAATTCGCCGCGGCGAAAACATTTCTTCGCCGGGGCGAGTAGCTACTGGAATTGTTCGCCGCGGCGAAGACAAATTGACTGGGTTTTTAAAAACTCTAAAATGACATGATGAACTTCGCCGCGGTGAAGTTTGCTTTATATAAATACCCACTTTTCGTTATACATTTTCCACCCCACCCTTCAAACACATTTGAGAGAAAATTTTTTCACTTTCAATCTTGATCCTTTCCAGTGAATTTCCATCACTTCATCTCACTCCTAAACCATCCCAAACACAACTCGATCTAACCAAGATTTTTGCGAAAAATTGAAGGAAATTTTGGATTCAAGAAATTGGGGGTTTTTGCAATCTAGGTGATTTTTGGCTAAATTGGTGGCAACTACTCCATTGTTTTGGTAAGATTTCAAAGTCCCTAAGCTTTTAATTGAAATTTTTTGTGTTTAGAATTGTAGATCTCAAAATATTGATTGTGGTTGAGTTGTGGATTTTGGTGATTTTGTGCGTAAATTTTGTGTTGGAGGAAGTGTGATTTTGCATTGTGTGATATTGAAGTGTGTGGATTTTGATTTTTGGAGTATTTGGTTGATTGTGGAAAATTCGTAGTTTGGGGGTCATTTTGCAGTTTTTGGAAGTTGTGGTGCTTGTGCAGGATTGAGTGTAGTTGTTCGTAGGGTGTTTAGAATTGAAATTGTGAGTTAAATTTGTTGTGGAAAAATGCCGGTCAAAGTGTTGTCCAAGGGGAAAGGAAAAGGAAAGAAAGTGGACAACCGATTTGTGAGTGATGAGGCCCGGAAATGCTATGAAGGGGCAGCCTAACGAAAAGATAAAGGATTTATCCCCGAGCATGGATTGACCGCTGACCACGCTGACGAATGGAGTCATGGGAGGCTTTGGGGGCTGTTTATGAGTCAACCCTAGCATGCGGCCATATAACCGATTGTGAGAGAGTTCTATGCCAACCTCCCTGAGTGTAATGAGGGGGTTGTCTATGTGAAGGGGATTGATGTACCTTTTGATGTTAAGGAGATCAATAAATTCTTTGAGTTACCAAAAATTTCCTATGATGAGCATACGGAGTGGAAGTCGAGACAATTTGATGCTGATGTAATACTTCCGGTCTTAACAAAATCGGGTACCATTTGGGAGGTTTCAAACAAAGGAAAGAAGTCTATCAAGGGAACAAATCTGACTCCGATGGTTTAGTTGTGGCAATATTTTGTGAGTGCGAGGCTGATTTCGGAGACACATTATAGCACAGTAACTTATGAAAAGACAATGCTTCTTTATTCCATTGCCACAGGGAAGAAAATTGATGTGGGAACATCATCCTAAATAGTATCAAGAATGCAGCTCAACCGAGGCGAGGTAGTTTCCCATTTCCACAGCTCATTACAGCATTATGCCTCAAAGCAGGAGTCGAGAAGTCTGATGATGAACCATTGATCCATACTGCCCCAATCCTCGACTCAGACTACTATCACAAACACCTTGAACGTACAGACGATGAGCAACCTAGCGTCGAGACAAAACGACAGAGAACAACACAGGGAGCTGCCACATCATCCAGTTCCACAGCCACTATGAAGGAAATGGTGCAGCAGATGATCGGTCAAATGAGACATATGACAAAACGTTAGGAATGGCTGGCAGAGCATACCCGGATAATGTTTGACATGCAGAAGAGTAGCTTCGACAAGCTCAATGTTGATACTGCGGCATTCCAATGGGCTGATTGGGATTCAGATGAGTGGATGGGCTTCGAGTCAGAAGAGGACGACGCCGAGGGAGACGAGGAGGCTGACGAATGAGCCAGAACACCTGTTTTGTATTTTGTTTTTGTTTGTTTTTATTTTGGTATTATTGTTGGGTATTATGGAACTTTGAACTGATTTTTGATTTGTTTGTGGTTTGTTTTTCGTTTAGTTTAAATTTG